GGGGTGTGTGACCAGGGCGTGTGTGGCGATGCGATGTTTTTCACTAGTATGGGCACAACCCAGTTCTTGGGGCCTCGCCTGAGGTGTGTGCAGCAGCTGTAGGGCAGCAGGTGAAGTTGCACGGGTAGTGACTTCCCTGTCACTTGTTCCTGTACAAAATTATTAACGACCTTCACCTGTCCGTATCTTAATTGGCACGAGCCTTGGTATATCTTCTTTTAATGTTAGAAGCATTGCCTCAAACAAAAGAAAATCCAGCCTCTTTGCTGGATGAAGCAAAATGAAGTTGTTTGTTTACACGTGTTGTTAGTGGCTGTGGACAAGCCAGTGATCAAGACCTGGAATACCTGGAATCTGTAGCTGGGGAACAGCTGCTCGGGGTTAGGGGGGATGCTGGGAGCTTCGCTGATTCCTCTTCTTTCGGGTCCTGGAGCTGTGAATCTTGGCATGATCCGTAAATGCTAATGTAACTGCTAAAGCAAATGGTTTTTCTTTCCAATTTATGCTTAAAAAGTATAGTATGTTTTTGTGGGTAAATCAAAGAAGTTGGTCCGAAGACAGATCACTGTGGCTCTGTTTATACAACTGGTGTTGTCGTATCCTAACACTTGCAGCCAGCATCTGCAGAATGCAAGGCTAAGGCAGTTTGTTGTGGAAATGGGAAAGGGGATAGGGAGCCTTTAATACAGATACAGTTCTCTAGATTCACCCTCTGGCTGGCATTTCAGTGGGTCTGATAAACTGAGTAGTACTACGTTGCAAGGAACGGAAGCATTTGCTGAATTCTAGAGGAGCTCAAGCATAAAGTAATTGAACTTGCCTGTTGTGCTGTTTCGTAAGGCCCAAATCAGTCGCCAAACTAGATGGAAGGAGCGTGGCAAACGTGATGCTTTTTTGAAGAGGGATTGTGAGACTGGCCTAAGGGAATAGGGAATGCCACGTCAAGCAGATTATAAGGAAACTGGACTGTGCATAAATATGATATATGATGGGAGAGTTAATGATGGGTTGACTCACATGTTGCAAAACAGTGAGAATCTTCAGGCCTTTATGTAAGATGATATGGTCTTGTATAGATCTTCACAAAGCTTCCAAGAAGTTCCTTTGCCTAAGGCTTTTAGTTTCTTTATGTATTACAGGGTAAGAGAGAAGCTTTCCAGTAACTGTTTAAAAGATAGGGCATAGAGAGAGGGTGAATACACTTACCAGTTTGTGCTCCTTTGAACAAATAACATGTAAAGGATAGCAAAGACCACAGTTGGCTTTGAAGTAAAATTATGTGTCAAGTCAAAATACTTTGTTATTTCATATCCTCTGTTATTTACAAAATCAATCTTATACCACGGAAACCTGTTGACAGTGTTGAGACTTTTAGCCTGTCGTACTGCAGGTTTTCCTTTCGACAATTAAGCTAGAAGCAAAAAGCCACAAATAATGTATATAACCAGATGGAGAATGCTACCTGTGAAGAGGCTTCGTCAACAAATCCTTCTGTTTGTCTTTTGAATGAGGTGCTGTCTTACCTGTAACGTCCAGTTTGCTCTCTTGGCTGCTGTTTCAGTCTTGTTTTATTCTCTTCCCTCATCTTCAAACAAAAACTTCTACTGTTACGTTTAAAGAAAGAAATCGGACATCAGTAATGCTCCTAATGAGTTTCAGGAGCTTTCTCATAGTGCTTGGGGAAATAGTAAGATATTCGATGTCTGGAGTTGGGAAAGAAGGCATGTATTATCTTTATGTTTAAGTATTATCTCTGTGTTTAAAATGTATTCAGTGTGTGTTGTTTGGAATGTTATTTCAGTAAACATACTGTAGGATGGACAATTTTTTATTTGTGTGTAACTATAATGGGAGTGCCATGAAGTGCAGAGCTGCTGAGCTTGGGTCATGAACTTGAGATCTGGAACATGCTCTCCTGTGAAGAATGAATAAGATTCTTCAGTCTTGAAAACTTGATTGAGGAAGAATTGATAGGGGTCTACAGATCATGATAGACATGAGTGAGAGCTGTCTCTTCCTATGCAAGACTTAGGAAGTGCCTAATAAATCTAGTAGAACCCATATTTAAAATAAAGGCAGGTGATTCTTTGAGCAGCGGCTGTGCATATGGAGAACTCTTGTAGAAGGATGCTGCGGGTGCTAAAAAAATGGAGAGAAGACTGCATGACTCTATTGGAAAGGAATCTGAAAGAAATTCTACAAAATACGTAGAAACCATGTCCACCTCAGGGAGCCCCTGGCCTGAACATAGTTGGAAGAATATTAGACAAGAACACAATGTTTACTTCCCCTCTTACTCGTCCCTGAGCATCAGCTCACGGCCCCTGTTGAAGGCTAGACTGACCCTTGTTCTCAGGTGAATAACTGTCCATATTTTCTTCTGCATCTTCCTCAGCTAGTTAGTGGGTTTCAGAGGGAGCATAATTAGTGCTGGATTTGCTTTTACATAGTTCATTCTTATGTCACTCTGATAAATCTCCTGATTTTCATCACCTGTGAAGTGGAGGGTTTTGTAGCAGTAGCTGTAATAACTGTAAGTTACCTATTTTTGTTATCTAATCACAAGCAACATGAGTGTGAATTTTTTTGTAATTATTATTTCTGACTCATTTTTGTGCAACTTACCATAAGTGAGTTTGCTTGAGTGTGTATGTTTGAGAATCAGGGAAATCGTGTTGCTTAAAAGCCAAACTATAGAAACAGGATTTTATTTGAAACAATTAAGAAAAACTGAAATTGTGGTTATTTTGAATTTATTATTTCTACTAGGAAGATATCTGTCTAGTAAATCTGACCTATGCCAACATATTTAAAAAACAGGTAAAGATTCAGCTTTTCATGTCACCTGCTGATTTCTGAGGTACTTTTGCAGAAGTTTTGGCAGCAGATCAAAACGTTTTCCCAGGTTCACAGATGGGAACCATGCCTTTTTTTTGTTTGTTGTTCTGGGTGTATTGTGGAGGAGCAGGCAGTTGAGTGTCAGCTCACAAACTAGTAGCAACATCATTGCCGGTGTTAATGCAAGAGTTAGCTGGTAAAATCCGTTGTCATGCAGGATTATAAAGATCCTAAATCCATATTTGTTGGAAATACATATATGTGTTTATCACTCATGTAATTATTAATGGTTTCTGAAGCTTATTACCCATAGGTTTAAAATGTTTATAGAAAGATTATTTAGCTATAGATAACTATGGTCATTCTTCCCACTGTTGAGAAATTATAGAAATAAGTAATTTTCCCAATTATCCTATGTCTATCTCAAAAAACACCAACCAAGTAGATTCCGTGCACATGAGAATTCAGCTTTCACTGTGATCTTAGGATTGTAACGTAGGATATTTTTTCCTATCAGAATGTTACACAGAAAGCCTTTCTTTGCCCAGTTTACTTTTATTTTTTTTTAGTGATTGGTCTGTGGTCATGTGGAAACCTTTGTTGAAGCGCAAGGAAAATGATACCATGGCGCTCTTTTTCCTAAAAGCTTCACTTCAGTACTGATGTTGGAGGACTGTGAGCTTGGGTCACAGGAGACATCAGCGGTGCCTTGTATGTTCCCATTCTTACAGACCTCACACCACTTGCATCACTTTCTGTTCACCTGGACTAATTTCCAGTTCTAGATAAAGCTTCAGATTTTCTCATAATGATTAAAGCAGAAAGCCTGTCTCAGTGCAATTTGTGGCTTCCAGCAGCCCTGAAAAGAGTTGGTAGATGGAAAACACCCTATTCTTCAGGATTAGTGCAAGTTTTGGTGGAGTAAAGGAGCAGTTCTCCTTGAGTTTAATGAAGGCAGGGTTTCACAGGTGTCAAGCGTGGGCCCTGTGGTACATTGTTTCCGCACAAGCCAGTACAGGTACTTGCCCTTTCATTCACAACCATTTGCCTGTTTTGTCTGTGTTCCAAGATGCCAAGTATGACAAAAATGTTGGAAGGCAACTCCTCTCCCAGTGCACAGTGTTCAGTTGTAAGGCAGCAGGATCTGACATGGAGTTTGCTGGAAGATAAATGTCACTGATTTCATAACTGAAGTATTTTATTTATATGAACTTAAATCTTAATTAGTGTAAAACTCCTTGACTGGAAAAAGGTAGCTGCAGTTCAGAATGACCAGCACATTCTTGTGTAAATGTGATTTGGTTTACATATTAACCCAGCATGTAATTTCACCTGCTCTGAGGTGACCGCCGTGTCTTAAGGAAGGAGATGTAGTAGACTTGATTGCAAATCTCATGTTCTTTACAAGATGCTGTGTATGGTGATTCTGTGTAGAAGATCATTATATTGAACAGTTGTGTAATTCATTAATTTCATATTAGCATGTTCTGTGTAGTAGATAGCACAGTGGATTGTCATCTCTTGGTGAAAACGCCGTTCTAGGTCACGACATCTTTGTGACAGCAGG